GGGGGGGGGCAACTTTGGTGGCTGCAGATGTTCCTTTTCTGCTTATCACTAGACCTTCCACGTCCAATGCACCATCAGAAAAACCATTTTTTAAAAAATGAAGGAAGCTGGGCGCAGCTGGAAGTCACCTTTCTATTTTGGGGGAATTCCCATTCTCTCTCTGTGTGTGTGTGCAAGCATGTGCCTCCTAAACTATTTAAAAGATGAACGGACACTCTGCAAGGCTACCAGGAGCAATAATTTCCCCCTACAGCTGTTATGGGTCTTTTTAGAATGGTTTTTAAAAAGAAATTAACAGCAAGGGGGTAATTGGAGTGGTTGCACCCTCTAAAGTCCAAGAGAGGGACGTGGCATCTCCAGACCTCTCGAACCTGACCGCCTTTGGTTTAAACTGTTGACAAAAGCACCGCAACTCTTGGAAGTCATTTGGGTGAACGAACCGCCAACTGTTCAGAAAAAAAAAATGAGAAAAGGCCGTGTGGTCCTTCCACAATACAGAAGCAAGATTATTCAATAATGAACCATTTACCAGCAAGGTGGCTTTGACTTATGGCCACTCTTTCTGGGTTTTCCAGGCAGAGGTTATTCAGAAGTGGTTCACCTTTCCCTTCCATGGGGGCATGTCTGGGACGGTGCAGCTTTTGCCTAAGGCCACCCAGGCTGGCTCTCCTCGCAGGAGGCATCGCTGGGGAATCCAACTCCCAACCTCTGGCTCCACAGCCGGAGACGTAACTCACTGAGCTATCCAGCCAGCCAGCTACTTATATTAACTTGGAAGTAAAAGGAAGGCCAATGCAGGAGCCTCTTAAGCCGGTTGGATGTGGCATTTTTCTGCATGTAGATCCAAATGCGACCTTGGGTGGTACTAAGTGCCACCAAATAGCTCTCTCTCTCCCCCCCCAGCACTGGATCTCCCCCCCCAGCTGTGTTCTGAAAATACAACCCCTAAAGACAAAGATGGGCCATAGCCTGTTTTTTTGAGAGTTCAGTGGTCTAACAAAGACATCACCCAGTCCTGTTTTCTGAACTTTGCAGAAAGGTTGTTTGGTCTGAAACCCCCTCCAGCCTTAGAAGCCTCCCTGTCTCTCCCCCCCCAGCCCATCCCTTCCCCCTGCCAACAGAGATTTGGGCTTTACTGCCCCATAGGGCTTTAAGTGGGAGGGAGGATGCCAGGCCCAGCCTGGTCAGTTCCCGATTTCCCCCCAGCTGTGCCTGATCCCTCTGGAGTTTTTCCTTAGAGTGTTAATCCTCAGTGGACCCTCCATTCACAAACTAATCCCATCTGGGCAAACATTTTCTCCCAGGATTTAGAATTTAAGCATCCAGCTGTTCTGTGGGCTGCCAGCTCTTTCAATGTGATGCACACACACACACACATATATATAGCAACATGATTGTGCCCGAGGGTGGCTTGCAAAGCATAGCCATGACTAAGGCATCACTTTGCCCTGTGCAGCTAACAAGTGTTTAGAAATTGCTAAAGGGGAGTGGAGGAGAAACCCTTCGGGGTGTTGGGTCGGTTATTTACACACGAGAAGAAAAGAAGGCAATTGAAAGAGAATTGCAATAACATTTGATGGCAGGCATGCTAACCTGCATGCACAGATTTTTAAAAAATAGAAATGATTTATAATTTAAAGAGAATTACAACGCATCTCAGGCCAACGGGGGAAGAGCATGACCCTGAAATCTGTCATATAATAATAATACTGTAATTTATTGTCATTGTAAGTATATACACATACAACGAAATTCACAGACACCCAGAGACCAGACACATGCACACACATAAAATCCATATCCATGCTGCCTGGGAGTTACTCATGTGATCTGTGGATGATGGGCATCGCTCAGGCCCTGATCATCCTCTTTCCTACAGTTCTTGCTCTTTAGATCAGACTGGGCATGGATAGGATCTCAAGGGGACAGTGTGGGGCAAGCAACAGAGAGGTGTCAGGCAACTTTCGTAGCATCACAGAATCATGGAGTGGGGAGGGGCCTCTAAGGCCATCGAGTCCAACCACCCCATGTTCAGGGCAAGGATCCCAAGCAAAGGAGATCTGACAGGCGGTTGTCCAGTTTTCTCTTGAATTGCCTCCAGCGCTGGAGCGCTCGCCACCTCTCGAGGCCATGGGTCCCCTTGTTGTACTGCTCTAACCGTTAGGAGGTTTTCCCTGAAATTCAACTGAAATCTGTCTTCCTTTAACATGAGCCTATTATTACCTGTCTTACACTGTGGGATGACTGAGAACAGATCCTGCCCATCCTCTGAAGGACAGCCATTCAAGTCTTTGGAAAGTGCTCTCCTCCCTCCCCTCAGTCCTCTTTTCTCGAGGCTAAACATGCCCAGTTCTTTCCCCGGACCTCCCCGCAGGCCTAGAAGCTGGCAGAGCAGCCTTCTCCTCCATAGCTCCATCCAGCCTGAAAGGCTTTACTCTGGAGCCGGGTGGGTGGAGAGGTGTGTGTGTGTGGGTTCTTCCTCCAACGTCGTTTTCTACCTGCACATCTCTGGGAGTGCTAATCCTGTCTCTGCGCGCCTACAGCTTCCTTTCCTCTCTCTTACAATTTTAGCTGCCTAGGTACTGCTCTGCCTCCCACCCCATCCCCACCCCTTGGCAACCGGCCAGCAGCTGGTTTTAATCGAAGTAGAATTTCCCAGAAATAAGAGCCGCAGCTACCAAAAAGAGAGGACTTTCCCCCCCCCTCCCCATGGTGTGAAAATGTCAGTGTTGTGTTCCTTTCCTCCCTCTTTTACTTATCCAGAACATCAGCCAGGAAGTCCTGGTATGCATTTTTGGTCCTGTTGCACGCACGCCTGACGAAACTGAGGCTTTGAACGACCAGGAGGCTAAAGGGGGTGGCGGCAGCTTTTCTCCAGGTTGCGATTGCAACCCCAGAATGCTGGAGGCGCCTTGTTTGACTCAAACATCATCATTAATTAAGCCACATGGGCCGAAGCCACAGCAGTTGCTGAGGCCAGACAACAGATGACGGCCACCCCTTCTTGGCTCCTGGCCCGCTGAGACTCAAGAGTTTTCGGGGAGAAGTGGGAACTGCCTGACTTTTGGGACCTCTCGTCACAAGAGAGAGAGAGAGAGAGAGAGCACCTCCATGTGCCTTCTTGGTTCCCAGTTTCCTCATTTCTCCGGAATTGACGAAAAGGCCACCAATTCTTCCACGTTCCAGGTCTCCCTCCTGTCCCACCCCTGCGTGAGGGCGCATGGGTTCTGGGCATGCTTTGCGCATGGGATGTGGAAGGCCGGGCCCATGGCTGCGAGGGAGCCCAGGGCTGGCTGCTGGGATCGCGTCCAAAGCGGCCGCACGAACTGTTCCCGCCCTTCCACCTTGGAGGGGAGCCA